GGTTATGGTAGTTTAAAGTCACCTGCCGGACTATAGAAGTATGCGTTGCTCAGGATGCCCTACGTAGAGGTAAGTCTAACGTTAAATTTAAAAATAGAGTTTGTGGAAAACAGTAAAGAAAATGCACGGTTTTTTATGCTTCCAGAGCGAAATCTACCATTTATTGGACAAGGGGTATTAAAGCGAGTTGTTCGCTTCATCGTTTATTTAGAAAATTCATCACAAATATAATCGTACTACTTCGATCAAAGGAGTATTGACAACAAATTTAACTATTAATTTGATTTCATAAGATGTCCACTAAGACTATAATGATTTATTTATTTATATCAAATGGCAGGCGTTTTGATAGGTATCATTAGCCCTTTAGTTGACTACGGGCTTCATAGAGGGGAGGAGGAACATCAAAGTGAAAAAAAGTCGATAAGGAGGAACGGAAGAGTGATTTAAAGATGTAAAAGAGACAGACACAAAGGCAGAGAAAAGGTAAAATGAGTGCTATGGAAGTGGTCGAAAATGACATACAGTGGGGCCATGGTAGTTTGAAGTCAGAAGTCAACTGCCGAATAATAGACTTTTTTGCCGTATGAGTATACGTTGCCCAGGGTGGAGGTAAGTCTATCGCACACCCCCGACTATAATAATAAGTTCTTAAAAATGCCTGCATTTGCCAGTCCTCTTAAATAAAAAGAGCAAGAATATTGCCCCGTCTTATTCCCTTCTGTGCACTTTCCGAGGCTATAAACAAACGAGATCCATCTAGCTTGTCAGCTCATAAATAGTGTTAAGGTCAAATCAGCGTTTTCTCAGAGTGAAACTTGCCTATTTCTAAACTCCCTGTTGCATAGCCCCTGAAAACCGTAAATTTGAGCTTTCATGTAAATCGTAATTAAGTTTAAGCAAAAATATTATAATTTTGAAAGTGTGGGTTAAATCCTGAAATTCGTGGGAGATTTTGAAATTCTTTCAACTCTAATTCAATCATGTGAAGAAGGGCCTAATTTTTAAATAGTGGCCTTAGTTCCACTCGTACATTATTGGATCGTTCGAAATATAGAGCATGTTATTTTTTTCATTCATTTGAGCATTGATGTGGGTAGAATTTCAATTTCGTTCAATTTGTACAGCTGCAATTTAAAAAAATAGCTTAACTAATTTGTTAGAAATACCATAGACTGTGGTTTTTGTTTTATAATTTATTTAATTTATTTTTTAGGAGGGTTCCAAGTTTAGTATTCAAATATGAAGTGGTTAACCAGAAATTATCATCAGATTTTATCGTTAATGAGGCTGTTAATAATTGAATGTTATTTCTTATAATCATGCCTTTAGTTTAAATATTCCATTATAAGAGATGGAATAAAGTGTAAGACATAAAGAATTCAAAGTAGCAATTAGGAGTTGATAGTGTCTGGTTGATGAGAACTAAGTTGATAATTATGAATATAGCCATAATTTGGTTTCTGAAGTTTTGTCTGTGGCAACAGGCTCGTGGCAAAAATTCTTGTAAGTATTTCGATCTAAATAGACTTCTTACTAATAATAATGAGCTTTTATATGAATTTATTGTTTTAGTAATTATCAATTTCGAAATTTACGCAGCCATCAGTATTGGTGTAAAGCACCAATATTTGTTCCTATCTCATTTGAAACTAACAAAAGTCCTTTAAATAAAACAAGGCCATCTATATTAAAAAAGCACCAAATAGATTTAAAGCTAGGTTATCTGTTTTAATTTTCAAAGATGCTTGAACCTCAATATTTTCTCCAAGGTCTCAGTATTATGCCCCATATGCTACACTTTGAGAATATCCATTACTCATCGGTTGTTTTGGGTTCTGGTTAAACATTTGGTTAAGAAAGTTATGGGTTTTTTAGAGTCAATTTCACTATCCTTCCTCCTTTTCAATCAAAATGTACTTTTATGATACAAAACTAACGCTTCTAATAGAATACAATGATGCGATTTTGGATGATATTGGAAATAAGCACATAGTCATTAGATAACGCTCATAATCATTACGAATTTGCATCTGATTTTTATTCAGAACAAGTAATTCACCGGTAAATACTAAATAAATTTTAATTGAGTTATTCTTAAAAAATGATATATGAAAATGGTTTACTTGACCATTTCATCCAATTTCTTTCATTTTCATTGACATTGAAGACCTTGGTGTTAAGTTAATGAGCCGCATTGGACATTTTTCCCTGAAATTTTCTGCTCAGGGTTTCAACCCAACTTTCTTTTAGTTTTAATAAGTGCCAAATATGTGAAAATGCTAATAAATAATTAATAAATATTTCACCTTTTAAACTCACAATCAACCATAGAGGGAAATGCATAAATAAAACAAAGCTTTTAGGCATAATCGTCGATATCAAGATTGCAGTGGATTGCTAAACAAATAAGGCTTGGCTTATACTCAGTAATCTCTAAGGCAAGAACCTCATATTTGAAATGGCTACCGAGATTAGCTAGGCAATCACAAAGCTGTAGAGAAAGCAAGCGCATTACGTAGAATACGCTTATTTCGATTGTATGTGGGATGCGAGTGATCCCAATGAGTGAATCTGACATAAAAATTTATTATTAAATATTGCTTGGGTGCCAAAACACTGCAATGGCCATTGATTCTTGATTAGTCAAGAGGTCTGAGCACCCGTGCTCTCATAAGCTCATTAATACAAGTGGCATATCGTTGACTATTCTAATAGTGTTCTTTCCATGGTCAAACAAAATTGAGTTCACTTCTTATTATACTAAAACCTAAAAATAATAATGAGGAAAAAGGAGAGGTAGATAATTAGATAATCTAATTTAGTAATTAATTCACTGTCAGTGAAAAATTGTGATTTCTCAGAATAGTCATGACTAATTTAGATTTTATGCACTAGATAAATGAAATGTATTTTAATCTTTATTCAACCTTGTTCTCACATGAAATAATTAAGAAACTCCGTCTAAGCACTATTTCAAATGCTGAATTAGGAATGCTGACTACAGAGAATGTACTTAGACTGTTCAAATACTAATAATATTTGAATAATCTCGGCCCAATACTCAAAGAAAATCTGCATCAACAGTTTCTTATCTGTCAACTTATTCGCTTTAAATTATCACATATCACTGGACCCTTAGATTTCTAACTCTCCACCAAATTTATTAATTAACGCATATTATAAAGGTATCCATCGATATGTGAGTCAGAAATAACATATAATTAAATGCAAGAAAACAATATTAAATGAATTTAAGTTACTGAATTCAAGTCAGTTATTGTTACAGTTTACGACAAAGTTATCACGACATCCTCTTCGTTATAAATTTACATTCTTGTAGAATGAAAAGCGCTGGTAAGGATGCACGATCTGTGCTTAACGAAATGTAGAACTAACTAATTTTTCACAGCCTTGTCTGTTTAAGGCTCAAGCTCTCCTTGAAACCGAATATATTTTATCAGTTAACTTGCGGTTTCCTATAATTATACTTCCAATATATGGGCAAGGAATACTATATTTTTTTTCTAATTTTCCAATGCAGTTTGCTTTATTCAGTGAAAAGCTTAACATTTTTTCCTTAATTTATATATAAAGTTAATCAATATACATATATATGTATAACAATGATAATTTAAAATACAGTACCTAACTTAAAAATATTTTGAATTTATATTTCCATAGAACAATTACGCTTTACTCAACCTGAACATATTTAATGACAAATTTTCTGCAATCCGAAAAGTTGCCTTCCAACACTATCGTCACAAATGCTAAATGAAAACAGGTACTTAAATTCTTTTGGCGTTCATTATAAAGCATTGGAAGTTATTACGTTAAATTACTTTTGTTAGTGGGAATTAAAAACGAAGGACTGGGGAACAGTATAGTGGAGTAGCATTAGAGCAAAATGGGATTGTTGCACTTTTATTGATCATGAAAAGATGCAAGAAATTAAAAAGAAATATTAATATATAAAATGAGTTAAAATAAAATATAAGTTAATGAATTATTAAGCTTTCTGAAAGCATCTTCAACTAATAAGGATTTTTCTTATGTAACCAAGCCAAATATTTTAACTTGCGCTACTGAAGGTCGAAAAGTTACTGGGTTGCCCACAATCACCCATTTTGAAAGATTACACCCCTTTTGAAGCATGGCTTCGAGTTCGTATGTTTCACTGTTGATATCTTCGAGCGTAACAGCTATGTCGACAGAAAGACGTTATCCTTTAAATACAATGCTGTCAAAGTTCAAGGTTTGTTAACTTTTTATTTTTTTAATTGTTAGGAAAACCTCGTCCTTATAACGGGTTGCGATAACAAAACCATGAAATTGGAACTTAGAGATGATAACGATAAATTTATAACAGAACTGACCGATGAATCTAAAACCTTGCAGGAATTGGGTGTTAAAGATGGGTACCATGTACGTGCATCAGATCCAAATGCCAAAGCCGGTCTTTATGATGATATTCTTAATGAGGAAGTGGAAGAATTTAAACTGACAGATGAAGAATATGCTAAAAGACAAGGTGATCTCATTTGGATTAACATAATCAACAAATTTAGATACGATTCTTGCATGGAAAAGGCAGAATAAACTGGGTCGATTCAAGGAAACAAATCCAGAAGAACTTAAAGCAGCAGAAGAGGCCAAGAAGGCTCAGTTGGCCGCTGATGCGAAAAAGATTGAAAGCATGAAGATAGGCGACAGGTATAATTATTGATTCTAATTTCTCTTCATATTTTTATTCTTAAGCATAATTTCATGAATTGTAGATGTGAAGTTCAAGTACCCAAACAACCACCTAAACGTGGTGAAATTGCTTTCTTGGGTGAGTTGGATGCATTTTGGGCTAAATCGCAAATGGAAGATTACGGCCTAATTTTATTGCCTTTAGGTGAAACCCAATTTAAGGAGGGTATATGGGTTGGTGTTAAATATGATGAGCCTGTTGGCAAAAACGATGGAAGGTAAGTAGCGATTTTCTTTAAATCTATTTTTTTATGAAGTGGCATTAAAATAGTATGGGTGACAACATTTAATTCGCATAGAGGAATTAATTGCATGGAACTTTTCACTAGTGCTTGCTGTTTGCTCTTTAATGGTCTTGTGCATACTTTTGCTAGCTTAGCTTCTTCCCTTCATCACATTCATTATATTTACATTTTTTCCTATATGCGAAATAATATCTTATTTGGTCTCCTGATTCCTAGAGTGAGCACCTTGAAGCCCGACAAATTATTGTTTTGTGTCTTCGACCATCCAGGTTTTGTCGTTGGTTGCTTAATACTGTGGACATTTTGGACAATAGGGATGGGGCAACCATTATCTACAAAATATTGTGGAATGTGGGGACCGAATAAATAGTTACTAGAGGGTATAAAGCTTATAGAATTTGCTAAAAATGAATGGAATATAAAGGATAAGTTCACTATTTCCCTAACGGTCGCAATCTCCTCATCAGCAGTCATTGGCTACTATTTATTGTAGCGTGATCTCGTACCGAGCTGACGTGTTTACCAGTTTTTAAATTGTCGTTTGCAACATGTTCGGTGGCTTGCATCGTGATTATTTTGTTTGCCTGACTCTCACAGTTTAAGAGTGAGTTCTTTAAACACTATATGCTCTCAAATAAAAGCTATTTCAGTCTATTAATATTTTATATTTCTATTATTTATTAATCTTACTGTTTCACGCTACTCTTATTGTAACTAGTTAATAAAAGTTGTCTTTCTGAAGTTATCAGCTCCTACATTTATTAAAATTTACTTTTATTGCATCTTTTACGTGTGCTTGTCAGATTTAATCTGGCCTCAGATTCTTATTTCTTCCCACTGTTGCAGTGTCGAAGGCTACAGGTATTTCCAGTGTCAGCCCAAATATGGAGCTTTCGTGAAGCCAAGTTTCGTAGAAGTGGGCGACTTTCCTGAACTTGGTATCGACGAACTGGATGAGTTATGACAGACCACAGCTGTTAATCTACTTTCCTTAACTCTTAACTGCCTCCCATTCTTTCTCCTCAACCTTGCCTTCTGTTTTCAATGTTGTGATATTAATATACGCCAGTTTTTGTTTGATATGAACTACTGATGATTGATAAAGGGGACTTTTGCATTTCTTTTATTTGGATGGGTGTGCGTGAAATTTTTGTCCAAATCAACGGAAGCGGTCTTCGAAAAGAGGACGAAGTTATTATTAATTAATACTATCAATTGCAGATCTAAGACGGTGATTAGGTGACGCCAAAACTCTTTTTAGTAACCATTGGTCATATTTTAATACTAACAAAACCAAAGATAGGACAAGGTGGTAGGAGTTCGATAACATCCTGTACCAATGAAAAGGCATTGAAATGATCAGTCAGAAGAGGGGGACATTTACAACACAGGTTCTAAAAGCTTTAACATAGTTATAGTATACAGGGTATAAAATATGGGATAATAGGCGTAGATTCAAGTAAAATTGTAGGGCTATTCAAGGCTGGTATGGTTTAGAAAGAGAACCATGGAAAAATACTGTTTCTTTTCACTTGGATTAGTACAAAGCATTATCAAATAACAGAGGAATTTCTCAAATTTTATTTCGAAAAGCCGGTGAAATGACTCAATTATTTGACTTGATGTTGTCAAGTAGAATTAAATTCTGACAATTTTAGTAAAATACATATCTATAAACCACTCAATTATCAGTATGAAATAACCATGACGAAATCAGATTATGAAATAATGTAGTCCAAGCAACTTTAGAACGCGCTTCGCCGCAGATAAATCAAATGCTGTACAAATGCTATGGACTAATTTGGGGGTACTCATCGATTTAAGCAATAGTAAAGTATTTAGTCACTAGATTAAGCTTTCTTTAAATACGCAAAGGGCATTTAACTCTGAGCATTAACAGGAAATAGGCTGATGAATTCTCACACTGAGAGTTTAGTTAGACGAACAAAAGAACAATCATACAGAATCATTACTAAAGATGGTCTTCAAGTTGTCATTTTGTCCAAATAAAATGCAAATGGGCTTGAAGTCCTTATACTGCATTCTTATTCTATTAGAGTACGCACGTTCATGATATTTTACCATAAAATAAAGGAATATAAACATATAATACTTTCAAGTTCACCACAACCAGAATATCATCCCAATAGGAAACAAGTAAAATGATACCTTTTTCTTGGAAATTGTGCTCGTTTGATTTCAAATTTTATTCTATTATGATGCAGCTAAGGAGACGTGAGCATATCCTAAAAGCTGACAAAGCAGGCAAGGAAGTGATAAATGACTGGTTACACTATTCATGAATTAAATTTGAGATCAAAAACATGAAATAATTGAATACTTTTAATCAATTAACTTTCATATATTTTTCAAATAGCCAATGAACTTCAATCAAAAGTAAATAAAACAAAAGTATTAAAAGGAAATTTAGCGCTCTCCGCCATCACAATTAATGAGACTACATTGTGAATAAATAACACTGATAGACAACATTTGTGAAACAATTGGGCAGTCAATATATTTCAAGCTCAATATAACAACTGATAACTGAAACTGATAAAATAAACTGTTCAGAGATCAAACTAACAATATAAGGATGGCCAGCCGAGTACAAAAGGGGTTGTTAGTATAGTAGATTATGCCAGTAATGTTCAGAAAAGTTTTCGTAGATCAACGAAAATTATGGAAAGCTTCACTATTTGGTAGGCTATCATATCCTATTATTCTTCGAAAGTATTGCGATCCTTAGAATAGACATACTTAGTTAAAAGAAGAAAGTTCCTTCCTCCTTTTCGTTGCAGAAAAAATGGGCTACAAAATGCAAGTAAGACAAATATTTTCATGATTTATCATAAAATCTCTAACCACCAATAAAAACACAGTCTTTCATTTAAGTATGGGAGAATGAACTTTGGCAAATGCGATGGTTGTTTACCGATTTGTCAATGGTAATAATAATATCCAGTCAAATTGTAGTGTTACTGAATGAACTATACATGCCGTAGATTCAGCATCCATGAATATTATAAACTTTGATAATATTATCTTAGTTGAGCATACTATAACGCAAGAACTGAAATGATACAAATCAAGAAATATTTCGGTGGTTACAAATCGTTCCCCTTCGTGCACTGGAGCTTAGATTACAATTAATTAGGAGAGGCCAGCTATGATATTTGGGAGAAGTTGATATTTAAAAAAATCATCATCAAAGTATTAAAAAGTTCTCAGCATCCTAAGGTTCGAAAAGCAAAAGTTTGAACAGTTAAGTATAAAATTTAGTAATGACACTTTTATCATTACTGTTCGTTTGTCGCAAAATGAAAAAAAGATTAAAAACTGAAACAACCCAAAAAATAGATTTAAGTAGCACAGCTAAATAAAAAAGTCATATTTTATGGGTTGACAAAGCATATTTAGTCGAAAAAATATTTTGTTATAACCGCTCTCCACATACGTGTCGATATTGAAATCGACTCCGCTCTTAAATCGCGTGTTGCTAGTACTACTTTGGTAATGGAGGGCATTGAGAAAACACCAGCCCAACTAAAAAAGGAAGCTAAGAAATTGGAAAAATTAGCCAAATTTCAGGCTAAACAGGAAAAATTGGCCGGACAAAAATTGGATAAATCCAAGCCAAAACAATCAAAGGTTGCTACTAAAGCCGCGGTTATTCATGAACCCACCTTGGACAAAGACGGCAAAAAAGGTTAACGAAGTTGCTTTATCTTTGTTTTCTGTAAATAAAGTATAAATAAGTTTGATTAGCTTCCTCATTTATTTTTAGATGTTTCTGGCAAAATGCCGGAATCGTACTCTCCGGGTTATGTCGAGTCTCTCTGGTATAACTGGTGGGAAACGTCCGGATTTTTCTCTCCTGAATACTGGGTATGCTTTTTTATCTTTTAGACTACTGTTTCTAAAATTAGCTTTGCCTATCGAATAACTATTTGGTCTTAATTTTCAGGCGTCCAAGGAATGTTCGGAAGGTCCGAGGAAAAAATTCGTAATGGTTATTCCTCCTCCTAATGTCACTGGAAATCTACATTTGGGCCATGCGTTGACAAACGCTATCGAAGATGCTGTCATTCGTTGGCATCGTATGAGAGGCGAAATAACCCTCTGGGTTCCGGGCTGTGATCATGCGGGCATTGCCACTCAAGTAATTATCGTGATACTTCTTAGAAGACAATTGTGTACATTTTTGGCAAATTGCTTATTTTATGGAGTTGATTATCTTGATTTCTTAAATCTGCCTTTTGGTATCCGGCATATAGCAATGTTGGTTTTGTCGTAATTTAGGGATAAAGCCAAGTCGAACTTTGTCTCAGACCAAACGTTTAGCTTTATTCTTCAATGGGAAAATAGATGCTTACTTACAGGATTTTTATTATGTACTCTGGAAGGTGTTTGCCAATTTTAGTATCTATTGGTTTATTATCTTATTTTTGTCTAGATTTTTGTCAAGGAATGCGTTTCGATTTGCCTGCTTTTACCCCCAATATTTTCTGCATATTTAGGTCTAGCAATGCATTCTCTGTTTCCGTAATCTAACTAGGTTTTTCTAATGTGAACGACTAACCACCAAGCGATGTTGATTCATCCAAAGCGTTTCTTTTAGATAATATGCTTTCAAATGTAGCTTGAAGCACCGTGTCTGGTCTCGGTGACTTTAAGCGGCTGTCAGTAAAATGCAAGATTTCTTATTGTCAGTCTTCGTAGAGCACTTTATAGTGACAAAACTTATTTCCTCCTTTTTTGTGTGTTGTGCAAACATTTTAAGTTTGAGGGCGATAACTCATTCACATCCTTTTCCATAAACTAGATCTCTGAGGTCACCCCCTCTTTTACTTAAGTGAATCTGTTAGGTACCTGATCAGTTTCCTCAAATTATCAAAGCAATCGTCAGTCCACTTAATTTTCAATTTTGATTGACTGTGTTGAATGTAATGGAAGAATCGTTTCAGTAGAAAAGTCAATTTTTCGCTATTTATTCTATATGGTTTTTTGCCTCTTTCTTTACTTAAAAGAATAAGTCATTTCGTTTATAGGATTATGTCGTTTTCGATTGTTTTTTCCGAGCAAATTCTTGTTTTATTTTTTGTAGAGGCTGATTGCAATTTTGTGTATTCTGCCTTGTTACTGCATTGTAAATTTCAAAAACCAGATCTTCGAGTGAAGCAGAATTTTATTCGCTCATGTTGATGGAGATTGCATAGGTCGATAAGTTCAACATTGAAGGTTGAAGTTGTTTGGGTGACTTTCACCAGATACAAGTCTGCTTTCAAATAAAGTCAATTACTTTAATAAGATAAATTATTTGTTTACTGTACTTTCCAGAGCGCTTTAATATCTTTCTATGTCGATTTAAGTCGGTGGCAGATGTGGATGTGTGCAAATTGCTTCCATCCTACCGAGTTTTTAATCCTTTTTTTAAATATTTCTGTCAGGTTGTTGTGGAGAAGAAGCTATGGCGAGAACGTCAACTCACGCGACATGATATTGGTCGAGAGGCCTTCATTGAAGAGGTCTGGAAGTGGAAAAATGAGTAAGTTGACATTTGAAATCATTGAAGTTCATTGCATCTGTTGTACGTCATTTCTGCAGGCTTAAGAGTATTTCGAGAATGTTGCAGTGACTAAGCCTTAAGTCTGAAATACTAAGCAGTTCAATCAAAATTTTCAAATGTCCAAAACGGTTGTCCTTGCCATGTTTTTTGTCCCTTTTTTTTCACACTCCTATTGTACACACTAAATTAACTTTGCATATTTTATTAGTTCACTAAATCGTGTGCCTATTTTTTTATTAGAAAAGGAGGAAATATCTATGCCCAACTTCGAGCCCTTGGCAGTTCCTGTGATTGGACAAGAGCGTCCTTCACCATGGATCCCAAACTCTCCAGGGCTGTCACAGAAGCCTTTGTCCGCATGCATGAGGGTAACCTAATCTACCGTAAGGAGCGTCTAGTCAATTGGTGTTGCACCCTCCAATCCGCCATTTCGGATATTGAAGTTGATAAGGTTGAACTTACTGGTCGTACATCGCTCAATGTACCCGGTTATGCCAAGCCTGTTGTGTTTGGTGTTCTCACTTCGTTTGCCTACCCAATTGCTGGTGAGATATTCTACTGAAATCATTTAAGCAGTGTTGTGAATACAATAAACCGTTTTTTTCTAGATTCCAATGAGGAGTTGGTGGTGGCTACAACTCGTTTGGAGACCATGCTTGGTGATACGGGTATTGCAGTGCATCCTGATGACCCACGATACAAACACCTAATTGGTAAATTCGCAGTTCATCCCTTCGCGGTACCTGAAAGACGTATTCCAATTGTGGCGGACACATTTGTGGACAGGGAATTTGGTACTGGAGCCGTGAAATTGACACCAGCCCACGATCCGACTGATTATGAAGCCGGCTTGAGACATAATCTACCCTTCCTCACTTGCATTGATGAAACTGGTCTCATGACTAAAGTGGCCGGTCAATTTGCAGGTGGGCTATTTCGTGACTAAAAGTTGTTATCTCGGGAAGTTTCACAATCGATAATTTTCAATTTAATCTTCAATGAAGGCTAATTGCACCAAATATTTAAAATCAAGAACTTCTGCATCATGAACCGGGGAGCTTTAAAAAAATCGAACCTAAAATTTAGCTCTTCTTATATATTTGGCATTGTAGCGATTAATTAAGTGGATAAATTTGAACTCACTTTAATCTGGCATGGTTCCCGGTTTCATTTACTTGACCTATATGAGGTTTAATTCCCTTGGTTTCTGAATAGGCCCGTTTTCACATTATTCAATTTATTTGCTTATGAAAGGCGTAAAGTTCGTTCCACCAAAAAGTTTCCACTAACCATCCCTCTTTGAAGCTAATTTGCCAACATTGAAGCTCCTTTTCAGGAGATAGTCAAAGTTACATAATTCACATCCATTTTATGGCAGATTTCCAAGACTTTATGAAGTCTCAGTTCTTTTGAGTTATCAATGGAAGCTGCTTATACAAATTCGTACAAGGTCTTTTTAGTGGATTCCGTGGTGTGTGTTTCGTAAAGTGTGTAAAGACCACTGATATTACCTGCTATTTGATAAAATGGAGATAGTTCTATTTGAGGACGCATAAGTGTTGGTATGACTTCCAGTGTAGATGTAGGTGAATTTGGGAGATTTTGAATTCGAGTCAAAGATTTCTATCCATTTCGAGTTGTTTTTTGGTACATTTTTGTCTTGCATACCTTCATACAACAATGCTCTTAGTAGCTTTCCCTTCACTAGTCGCTTATCTCTACGGATGATTAAGTCAATTGTACTTGAATGGACTCGAGACTACTTTATTACAAATTTTTTTATGTTTTTTTCACCAGGAATGAAGCGTTTCGACGCTCGTCTGGCTGTTAGAAAGGCTTTAGAAGAGCGCGGTCTGTACCGCGGTTGTGTTGACAACCCTATGGTAGTGCCTGTCTGTTCTCGAACTAAGGACATTATTGAACCCCTCCTTAAGCCCCAGTGGTATGTCAAATGTGCTGAGCTGGCTTCGCGTGCTGTCGAAGAAGTCGAGTCAGGGCGACTGAAAATTACTCCGCCTGGTTACATGAATACCTGGTACGCTTGGCTACGAGACTGTCGCGATTGGTGCATCTCCCGACAACTTTGGTGGGGTCATCGTATCCCTGCCTACCTCATTTCCCTCAAATCTAAGGAGTCGGGAGAATTCCAGAAGCTTGATGTAGGTCATTCTAAATCGGAAATTCCAGTCATTTATTTGCGACAAAAGTCCTCTATTCTGAAAGGCAAAGATAGTTCTAAGTCTATAATGCGTCGGTGATGCAGTGGCTCAGCATGCCTATCTTCTAATTTCGCTGTGTCTAAATTCGTGTCCGTCACTGTTCATCTAGCGATGTAAGCACTAATTAATTTCTTCCAGTTGGAATATGAACATCTAATAGAAAGGCTCCATCATGCCTACAAAAGTCGAGTGTTGTTGGCACATTGAGTGGAATTGGGACGTTCTAAGTGCTTTGGCTATGCTAGAAGTACTGAAAAGTTGTGCACACTTTTGATTTATGGGCATATTATCTGTAGTAGTACTTGGCTTGTTATTTTAAATTCTTAGTGTTTAGGCATTTATTTGATGGGAATGTTATGTTTGCTCCATAGTGTAAGGGGACACTCTTAGCGTCGGTCCGTACCACATTGAGGGCATTCCAAAGATGTTCTGTTTCTCGAGTTAGGTTTACTTGACATAGACCAAGACAAAAATTGTACGAAACTTCTCCGAGTTGTCTCTGTATGAGGGCGTATCTCGTTTTTCATTGAAGGAGTCCGATGAAAACTCTTGGGTGATTGGTCGTGATGAGGCGGAAGCTCTCTCTGCAGCCAAGACTCGTTTTAATATCACCAACGACTCGGACATTCGTTTGAATCAAGATGAGGACGTGTTAGACACTTGGTTCTCTTCGGCTCTCTTTCCATTTTCTGTCTTCGGTTGGCCAGACGATACCGATCCAGATCTCTCCCTCTACTACCCTGGCAACTTCTTGGAAACTGGACATGATATTCTCTTCTTCTGGGTAGCAAGAATGGTCATGGCTGGGCTCTACTTGACCGGGAAACTCCCTTTCAACCAAGTGTATCTTCATGCTATGGTTCGTGATGCCCACGGCAAAAAAATGTCAAAATCTCTGGGTAATGCTATTGATCCTGTGGATGTAATTCACGGCATCTCTCTGCCGGGTAAGTGCGCATTATTGCTACTGAATTAAACTCAGTAGTATAAGCTTAAATGAGACTAGTCGATTCATATTTCAGTGCATTTTGGCCTTTTACCCTTTTGTTTCCACCTCTGTATTTTGTCCCCTATATCAATTGATTTGTGTGCTAATGTAAGGTTAATTGTTCAAGAATCCGGCACTTATCACTAGTTTAACACAAAGATCGTTACAAAATCCGGTGTTAACCAATTATCACAGCTTTTATTACTATTTTTGTTTATAAATCCTTCATTTAATATCTGTGCTATACTGTCTCAACATGAGTTATATCGACTTGGCCAAAAATGTTTGTTAGATTCTACCTCGCATCTGCTTGTCTCGTGTATCATTTCTTATCACAAGTGTGTCGATGTGGTTGATTCCTTTCCATATTGTCTTCTTATCTTGACTAAATGAACAAATTTAACCATTCCAAATTGAAAAGAATTTACAAATACTTATCTACCATTACAGCATTTCTGGCAATAAGAACACTTTTGTCAGTAGTGAAAGCATATAGCACCGCTTCTCGGCATTTATCGTAAGTTGTCGTCACCTGGTTGTTGTAGATTTGCAAGAGAAGCTAAAACATGGCAACTTGGACGCATCCGAATTGAAGCGAGCTACTGCAGCCCAAGCGAAAGATTTCCCCAAGGGTATCCCCGAGTGCGGTACTGACGCTCTGCGCTTTGCTCTTGTCTCCTATCCCACTCGCGGTCGCAGTATTAATCTCAACATTCTGCGTGTCCAAGGCTATCGTTTCTTTTGCAACAAGCTTTGGAACGCTGCTAGGTAATTCGATTTCCTTCTTTGCGCGTTTTTCCCCCATTTCAGTAGATGGTATTTTCGCAAATCGTGACTTTTTTCTTTTATTTAGGTATGCAATGTATCATTGTCTCGGTGAGGAATACAAACCACCTACATCAACGTCAAGTCTTACTTTCAATAATGCTCTTCTCTCCGGAACTGATAGATGGATTTTAGGCCGTCTTGCTCATGCTGTTGTGGAATGCGATGCTGGCTTTTCGACTTATCACTTCCCTCAAGCCACCACTGCTTGCTACAACTTCTGGCTCTATGAATTCTGTGATGTCTATCTTGTGAGTGTTTTCCAATTTTTGCTTGTTCGTTTACAAACTGTTCTATGCTTTACCCGAATCGGCTTCCATTGCTGCTTTTGGCTCCTGTTTTTGGAGATTGGTTTTCACTCACCTTGAACTTATGGGCTTGTGTCAAAATTTTCCCGTAATTTGCATTTTTTATACAACTTTAATTAAGCTAATTTTTTATAAGTTAAAATCTTGAATTATAATTTATGACCATGAATTCATATGGAATAGCAGTCATTAGATCTGACTTTTCTCTCGAAGTTGTCGATGACAAAGTTTTCCTTCTGTTGTCGATTGAAATTGACAGCTATTGTCAGCATCACTGGAAAATTCCTTTAGTTAACACTGGCTAACAATTTTATTCAGCATTTTTGGCATTCTTTTAATGATCCAAAACTCTTTGGCTTCCTCAAACCTTTTAAGAGAATACGCCTAAGACTTCGCAATTTCGCGTTAACTGACTTTTATCTACATATAGTTTCAATTGTTGATAATGTAAGCCGCCTTAGATAGTAAGAAGTGTTAGATATTGCCAACTATTTTTACTTTCGCTTTCAGGAGTATTCCAAGCCCTTCGTTAAATCTACCCAAGACGTGGACCCCCAGCGAGCTGAGATTGTGCGGCACATTGTCTACACTTGCGTAGACTTTGGCCTGCGTCTCTTGCATCCCTTCATGCCTTTTGTCACTGAAGAGCTCTTCCAACGTCTGCCGCGTAGGAACCCTGCTGCTGATCAACCTGCTCTCTGTGTAACCGCTTATCCATCGTCTGAAGAAGTGAGTTTACACATTATATCTCCCGCCTTCGTCGGATTGGCTATTAGAGCTTGCAGTCTTACTTGGAAAGCAGTAGTGTTATCAGCGTTCTTGTTAGTTTCATAATAGTTACCTGGTTCCGAAATAAAGGAAATAACCTAGCATCTTGAGATCAAAGTGAACGACTTGATGTAGGTGAAGATTATCTGCACTAGGGGGAGGGGGGGGGGGTAGTTCATATTGATTATCACGATGGTGATTGCAGTTTTGATCTGCATCTCCTTCTGTCATGGGCCATTGCTTTTATTAGGAATAAAGGTGGGACTCAAAGCTATCAGCTCAAGCTATATTGCTTTCCAGTCAGACTTCATTTGGCCTTATTTGCGTCTGCCACCTCCACAATGTTGCCTTGTGTTCTCTCTCATTATGCCTAGGTTGCCAAATGGATGGAAGTTGAATCCTCTGAATCAATTGGCTTCCAACTGGCATTCAGTTTAGTTCATCGTCTACGTTCACTCTACGCAAATTACAATCTGCGTGTTACCGGTGGGGATTTCCCTGAAGTTGTTCTGATCGCTCCAAGCACCACACTCGACATCCTTCACAAAGGAAATTTCCTCGATGATCTCGTCGTTACCTTGGGCAAATGCAAGGTGGTGGATATGGCCACCGACAAGAATCAAGGTATGTTTTTTTCGAATTATGCACTACTACTACTAGAGGTGGTCAGATCTGCTCGAATAAATAGGAAGGAAGCACAGGACTACGTTACTAGCTCAACAGGAGAGTAACTTGCGCGTTTTGTATTCGCTACTTTCTGTTAGTCTTTTAAAGACTAATTGGCGAGATATAGATTGCAAGTTGTCTCATTTACCTGTTAAAATTCTTTTCTGAATGCTACACTTTAGTGGATTTCGTAAAGAAGTACGAGCAATTTGCGTTGAGCGTAAGTAATTTTAAATTACAGGATTCGTAGGCTCTTTTGGAAAAGTGAGCACAGAACTTCGTTTGTATAGAGCTTTATGAGTCTATCATTCTCTTCCTGTTGTTCAGGGCTACCGACGACCTTCGGTCACCCACACCACTGGATGTGTTCCAGTGGTCATTGGTCTGTCTGGGTAAGCATGCACGCTGCAGCTACGCCACATTTTAGGAATGCATTTCAAGCACTTTTATGGAACCTCTGATAAGCCACTCGGATTCTGCTATTCGTTGTTAGCCAGGCATGATTAGTACGGTTGAACCTCTTCGCCTATTGGTTACGCGCTAATAGTCATTGCACTTCTGACCTCCGATTTCACCAACTAGCTGTTTAACCATTGGGTCTCATTGTAAATTTAGTGGGCATTGTAGAAGCAGTAAACATTATAAGCTTTTTTAAGTATCCTTTTCATTCGGTTTAACCAATATGATCGGCTTGAATTTTAGTAACAGCTTTCATTTTGATTTTAAAAAAAACTTTCCATCCTATCACACATTATAGTTAACACCCATGGTTGCATAATGACTACGGTGAATGCCTTGGATGCTCGTGTGGACGAAGCTACTTCTGGAGCCGAACAGGCGGAAGGTGAACTGGAGGAAGTGGGTGAAGCTACGCAAGAGCAGAAAATACCAGATACCGATGATGCTTCACAGCAACCTTTTTCATCTGTGACCTGTCAACTTTACCTTCGTCTTGTAGGTCATATTGATGCTGTAGTTGAGATTGAACGGGCTCAACAACGTGTGGCTCAAATCCAGAAGTCCATTAGTACACTAGAAGAGACCCGTTCCAAACCGCAGTATGCAGAGAAAGTGCCTCAGGCTAAACAGGCCCTTGATGCTCAAAAGGTGAGAATTGTAATTAGCCCAATTTCTACAATTAGAGAATCTTTAAAAAAGTGGAAGAAGAAGGGGGGAGAGGGAGGGGTGAAGAAGGCACTCTAATTTCAGATGGTTTGCCTTAATATTGATGATAACTAATCATCTGGTCGGTTTATCAATAGATGGTGTAATTTGATCCTATTAGAACTAGTTTCTGGACACATTAGGGTGATATTAGCCAGTTAAAAAGTTTGAAAAGTGCTGTTTGTCGTCATTTTGATTTTCCACTGATTCATACTTGAGGATCTTGTTAATAACAGCAGCTCTGTTAATTGCAAAGATCAATTATTCATGAATACTAAATTTAATCAGAAAATGTGTTAGATTCTATTCGGGATTAATATTTGGTGCTGCTTCTTATCAACAACTTAAGGTCTTTTTCAAAATTGTACAATGTGCTCTGAAAATGTTCCAGGTCTCTTCATCTTTGAGTTGATTTCAAAATCGTTTCTTTTTTCACCTTTTAGCTGCATACTCTTCAAGTGGAATTGAGTGCCTTCCAAGATGCAATTGAAAGTCTAAATTCCCTATTGCCTGGTGGAACTGCTAAATCCCACCCAACTATCAACTCTCTTCTCAAATTGGCGTGCCTCGCAAACAAGACCACTCCTGAATCCCTCTCACCCGAACTCTTTGATTTGCAGGCTCAACTGGAGGCCGTGTGCTTGTATGATAGGTCATCCGTAAGTTGAACGTGTTTCCTCTTGTTGTTCTCTTTGAATATGTTACATTATTATTATATTTCTTGCTTTGCGTTGTGATAGCCTGCAACAAATGCAAAGGTCAAGGAATTTATCGCCTTAAGCATTGCTCTCCTCAATCCAAATGGACGGAAGAATGATGTGGCACGCAATTTCTGGCGAGATTACTGCCACTCGCGTTTGGAGAAGGGCAAATTTTTGTTTGGTCGTATTCTTGGCCCCGCCGACTTGGTTGCTGTCTACGTGGCACATCATCTTGGAAATTCGGTGAAATTCACCACAAACGCCTCTCACCTTTGGCTGAAAAATTGCCACCAATATACTCTTGCGAATGGACAGAAGGTTTGTGGGGATTCGGTTAAATTTAGACGAACTCTATCTCGATTGAAATAAATTAATTTGTCTTTATCGGTTTTGTAGGTGAAAGATTTTCTCAAGTCGGTGAATTGAACTGAAATGCTCGCTGCATTTAGTGGACAATTTGTGCTATTTCAAATTGATTTGGTATAATACACTTTTCAGAACACATCTTTTGTTGTTACAATTGGAAGGTGTTGGGAGGTGGGGAATTGCTATATTGTAAAGTTATCCCTTGCCAGTTAAATAAATTTGCGCGTTTAGCTTTTAACTTTGGGTTCAGTTTTTTTCAACTGTTAGCAACAGTAAACTTTGGCTGTAACTGTTTCACTCGCTTTGAGAGCAATTTATAATGGATATTTCCACATTCCGCATGCATCCCCATTAAGTGCGTGATTGGTGCCCCTCAAGCGTCGACAGTGGGGTGGGTTAGGGGGGAGGGGGGGGGGGGGGGGGGGGGGTGGGAATCAGTGTTAGGTTTGGAAACAACAATTACTTTGCCCACTCGCATTGTCGTAAACAGCCGACTTCTCATACCCAGTGAGAATTCGTTGGAAAAATGACGAATTATTTGTCATGACATCAAGGAAATGCGCATGGTTCTCCTCATCATTTTCGTGCTACTGGGAGAGCTGTTGCAGATGGACCCAACATCACATCCTATTCACTTTGTCAATGCACTTTCAGTGTAGCTGTATAGTTGAGATTGGGGCATGCGAGTTTCTGAAGCAATTCCCGGTTAGTTAACCGAGATCTGATCCAACTAGGCATTCTAATACGTCTTCATCACAATTTGAGGATTATCCTGACAATTGAGCATTTTGCACTTAATAGTGAGAAATGAAATTGTCCATGAACAATGTGTCACCTTAGTAAAATTTTGACAGGGTTATTACTTTCATCGTGTCTAGACTCAAAGTGGCTTCAAAAGCCCATTAGTAGAGTGCGCAATTTCTTATCGCCAGCCCGAGTATGACAGCTGATATTTAGGTTAGTGAAGTCATTTTAAGCACTTCTACAAAACTATTTATTCATTTCTATTAACTGGCAGGCATTTTGATAGTTATCATAAGCCCTTTAGTTGACTTCAGGCTTCACAGAGAAGAAGGGACATCAAAGTGAAAAAAAAGTCGAGAGGGGAGGGGGGAACAGAAGAGTATTTCAAGGACGTAAGAGACAGACACAAAGGTAGAGTGGAAAAGGTGAGGTGAGTACTGTGGAAGTAGTCGAATATGACATACAGTGAGGTGATGATGTTTTGAAGTCGGAAGTCAACTGCCGATTAATAGACTTTTTTGGCGGACGAGTATACGTTGCCCAGGGTGCACCACGTGGAGGTAAGTCTGTCCTACACCCCACTTCTACAAAACCTATTTCTTCTCTTTTGTGTATTGTGTAGACAGTAATGAGTTAGAGGGGCTAATCTGTCTCGTAATTAATGACCTCGAAATGTCCCTTTAGAGTACCGCGAAAAATCATACGTTATAATTACCTAATTTAACTCGAATTCAAGCTTTTATTAACTCCTTGGCAGAAATAGGATTGCAATCTTTTGACTTAACTGAATCTCTTAGACACGTTTCTTCATAGACTTGAAGAGAAGAAAAGAGTTCGGCATGCAGATGTAT